GACAAGGCAAGTCAACCCTCCACAGATCTGCAAACGCCTTCCTCCTCTTCCTACTTTTTTTATTACGGCCATTCCCTGAGGCCTCCATGCTTTCCAATCCCACAAAACTACGAGACATCCCATCACGTATCCAAAGGATTGGTACACCTGAAGATGAGGGTTGGATGGATGGATGGCTGGATGATGGCAGAAATAAGACTATAAGTGATTGGCCATTTCAGCGTGTGTCCTGATGATGACTCAGAAGGAGGAGGAAACCACTGGTGATGATGAGGACGACTTCTTTGGTAATCCGTTAAAGCATCTCATGTCTAAAGTGATAGCTGCCAAGAAGGATGGAAGTGTAACCGGAACTGCCATAAATGACGTTAGGAAGGAAGGTATTTGTACTAATTATATTTTTTTTAAAACATTTTTATGCTTAAATTTAAATTGGTATTTGGATAAGAATAGCTACTAATTACTTATACTTTTACAAATCTTCGTGCTTAAATTTAAATTGGTGAATGAGGATATTTCTGCTAAATTAGCTGTTATTCATCCACTTGAGTTGAATAACTAATTTTGTTACTTCAACAAGAGACTGTAATTCAAACTTTCATATGTCGCGTAAAGTATCACAAATGATGTCATACTTTAACAAGTAATTTTCATTACGGATTAAAACACGTTTTGTAACGAAAAAACGAACCATGTTTGATAGTGCAGGGAAAATTGGTAGATGAAATAGGAAATACATAAAAAATCTTTCCTTGACAATCTGGTATTTGAACATTATTTGAACAGAGAAGAACTACTGGATCCCATTTAACATGCTGTGATCGGTTTATTTATTAATTTTTTTTTTGAACTTGTAATTCCAGATTCGATCAAAAAAGATACAAGCAAGAAAAAGGAGAATACATTGGGTTAGTTATGTTCAATAAAAAAATTGCTGGTTACAGTTATCCAATTGACAAAACAAGCTTATGTTGAAATTCTGTTCGGTATATTTTTCTCAGTCTCATATAACTGAGAAGAAAGTTTTAATTTCTGGGTGTGACACGAGTAATAGTATGTAAATATCTCTCAGGATTTGAATTGTTTCTAAGTGCATTTGTTGTAGATGATCTAATCGATGACGACGATGATTTACTAACGTTAAAGGGAAAAAGAAAAGTAAGGGAAGATTGCGCTCTATTGAAAGTTGAACAAGAAATCAAACAGCTGGAAAATTTTTCCAATATTTCTGCTTTTCACTCATCTGGTTTAAGTCCTTTAATGGGCAGTTCAATGAAGAATGATATCAAAAGGTTGCGAATTACACAAATAAATGGAGCTGCGTCTATTTAGCAAGGAAAACCTAATGAATAGTTTGCAGATCAGAAGAATATTCCTTTTTTATAAAGTATTTTATGAAGTATTGTCAAGCTTGCAACAGAGTTATTTCATGAAGTACATATAGTAATGGCCGCACAGTTTTGCTCCTTCTCTGGCGGATATTTGCTGGAAAGTCACATCTTTAAAATCTTGTTCTTTTTTTATTGTTCTTCCAATTTTTATAGGCAGAAGAAAGTTATGGATGACAGTAATTCTAATTCACTTGGTAGTCCGTTTATTATTGATGGTGGTACTCTTGAAGCGGACGATAATATATTTGCAAAAGAAAAAGTCTTTGTCGTAGAGCCACATTGCTCCATTGAAATCGGCGACCTTGAGAGCTGTGATACTTATATAAAACGTTGGAAAATGGTAAACATTTGTTGCATACGAAATTCTAGATGGATTCAATTGGATTTATTCTCAGTGCCAGCTCTTATGTTTTTAATTCGATAACATAAGATGTGTAAAATTACTTTTTGTTAGCAGTATCCAACTTTAGTATCCACTATTGTCCAAACGATAGAAAATACATTTCTATTTTTATTTCAGGAGAAAAAAGGATAAAGTGTGCTGCTGAGAGGTTTAATCTGCATAACTCAATAAGTATTGTAACTTGAGATTAGTAGTTCGTAAAAAGCGTAATTTATAAATAATTTTCAGAGCGAGACATTTACGGACATCGTCAAATTGTATGCATCAAATTGGTCTTGTTCACCGGAAAATGTAGTTTTATCATTAAGGAATGGAAAGAGGGTTTTTGCAGAAGACACTCCCAGCAGTGTTGCATTCAGTGAAAAAGATGTCAATTATTTATCAGTTTACAAGAACAATCAAAGTGGAAGTATAAATGTCAAATGGTTACTGCCTGAACAAAACAAGCCTGTAATTACTGCTGTTCCAAAGGTATTTATTCGAAAAAGAAATAACCGAACTAATGTTTGAAAATATAGGGTTTCATTAGACTTTTACTTATTAAGGAATTGTGTTGATATATTCGATATATTGTTGTTATATGATTATAATTCTTTTCTTTTTTAGGATACTCCGTTCATGATTGTGAAGCGAGATTTCGCTGTCGATAATGGTTTGGATGAAGAAAAACTTACATTAATCTTTGACGGCAAACGTATTAGTCCGCAAGAAACTGCGGACACATTGGGGATCGAGGATGGTGATTGTATCGATGTTTACATGAAGTGATCTCATTTTGACTATCCTAATTTTATAGCAATTTGCTTGATCCAGATCATTTTATTCATTTGATTTGTGTCACTGATTCATTCCTAGTCTTGTCACTTTCATTGAATAAATATGTATGAAGTTGTTTTTGCAGAATCATTCATAACAGATGTATTTCACACCAGTCAATTATGTTACCAGACTTCCATATTATTATTATTATTATATATATATATATATATCCTGAGTTTAACCAACACCATTAAAGTCCGATGTAAATTCGGCACATAGGCTGCCTTTTGTTATTGTGAAAGCACATGTGTGAATTTGAAAGCGAAATTCAGTGCAAAGTTTAATATGGGTCGAAGTACAAATGCAATGTTGAGCCTGTAGATTACGTCATTACACAAAAAACTATTTTTAAATTTCAGATGAAGTCAGTAAAACGACCAGTAAGCACACGGAAACTATCGCGCTTATTTAAGACTTTGTTTATGTCTTAACTTTGTCATGGGAGCTTTTTGATTTTCCGTAATGCTAAGGTAGTTCACGCTAGTTTCAAACTTGTTTGTCCACTCATTGTCACAATCTCCATTTCGTTAATGCGGACTATACAAGTGCAGGCTTCATTAAAGCGTGGAATCCCTAAATAAAAAAAAATTTGCTGACTATTATACAATTGGAAATGTTCATAACGCAGAAGATGTAGTGGTTGTTAATTTCACCACATCTATCTGACTTCAAAAACTTGATATCGTTGGTGAGTTTCGCTCGACCTATGCATGGATTTGGCAAGATGATTTCATGAGCTGAAAATCAGCATCTTGTCCAACTTACTTTTTTTTTTGTAGATTCGGAAATGACCGCAATGATTTTCCGATACGAGAAACTGCATACCGATTTATTCCAATATTTATGGATACCCGTGAGTACTACACGATTGTATAACACTGCTGTTAGCCAACCTTGCACTGAACAACGCGATTTATACCAAACACTTGGTGTTGAGTCATCTGCTACGACAAAAGAAATCAAGGCAGCTTATTATGAACTGTCAAAGATTTACCATCCAGACAGGCATGATGGTGAACAACAGAAGAATTTGGCTGCTGAAAAATTTCTACAGGTACAAGCTACATTATATGCTTTTTATTTATTTCTATAATTTGTTAAGATCACCATGAGAAAGTTTTTTCTCTGACTGTGGCAGTAATGCTTCGACAACTTGCACTGTTTTTTATTGACTAGACATCACTGCTATTTATCGAGAACATTTAATTATTATACTTCAGGTAGCGGAAGCATACGAAGTTCTATCATCCGATAAAAAACGAAAGGCTTATGATAAGAAGTGTCAAGAAAGCTGGCTACAGACACCGACCGGGAGTTGGCCCACGCAGATGAGAGTGAAAAAAAACTTTGAGGATTTGGGATTAGATTACAAAACCTTCGAGGACTTTCAACGTAGTGTGAATACTAGGTCAGTAACGTAAACAGTAGGTCTCAATCTACTCTCACAACTGAAAATTCCATTTTTAGTTAATTTTTCAGGAAACAACGGACTAGACACGATCACTGGCAAATGCCTGATGAATTTTTTGCTCATTTCGGCAATCCTCGTGAATTCACTAATACTTTTCGTCCGCGAACACCAAATTATTTTTCCTATAGTTATAAGGTCATCAAGAAGTTAAAAATTTTTCACTATTATGAGATTTTTTTAAAAAATAGTTCGAGGTACATCTCATATTTCAGTATGTAAGATGTACCTCGTAACACATTTTCAAGACATTGTGAAAAAAAGAGATGATTTGCAATACTTAGCAGGCAAGCCACATTAAAATCATTGCTGTATGAATGCAGAATTTAAAACGAGATTAATTCAGGATCCAATGCAGCGACAGCGTGAAATAAGAGAATGGCAGATTTTGAAGGAAATTGAAGAAGAAAAACGGAAATCCAAATATAAAACACCAGTCTTTGTAGTGATGGAGAGAGAACGAAGGAGGCGAGAACTAAAGGAAAAAAGAGCAACTAATATTTTACTTCTCGTTTTTGGATGCTTGTCGATATTAACCTATATCCGTTTAGTGTAAGATACTGTAGTGCTATAAATTGTAGAAAATATATCAAGCTGAAACAACGTCAAATTTTGTTTTTTTACGTAAACTTCCTCCATAAAACTTCCGTCCATTTACTTAGTTGCATTTTCCTTCTTTTATAACACGGAAATAGCAATAATTTGATACATACCATTTTGGCATTAACTGGGAGTTTTTGAGTTTGAACTTCGCTTAACTTCATTATTTGACCAAAGGACTTATTATAAGCTTCGAAATCAAATAATTTTGGCTTTGGCAGCACGATTCGTTAACAGTAAATTATTAAATCAGATGACTATTAAATATGTTCACAACTATACTTCTAACAATAGTTAAGTGTTTCACTTATTATTGTCACTACTCAATACGAGGTCCGGAACAGATAGCTTGTGCAATGTTCTCAAGTCGAACAAATTCGTTTCTCATAAGAACAAATCCAAATTTCAAGATGTTGTCAACAAAGTATTTGCATTCTTCCCCAAAACACATTACCCAAATAGCCATCCACTCATCTAGGGACTGACTCCGCGGTAAGGGAATCCCCGACCAGCATCTTGGGTTGCCACAAAGCTGCATCCATACTAAACATTATTTTTTACCGGCCATCCCCTGATCCTTCTGTACCGGCATTTAGAAAAAATCAGTTCCGGAAATGTTTATATTCTCTGATACATTGCATGCTAAATGATAAAAATGATGGACAGAGTGTTCTATAAATCATCAACGGCAGTAGAATATCAGATGAATTTGAAAACCCTTTCGACATGTTCGTTACTGGTGTTAATAATCGTTTATTTATAGCTCAGGAATCGTCAATTTGATATAGCGATCACCGTAGATGTTCAATGTATAAATGACAAAATTTTGTTGCTTACATACCAAATTTATGTAAATTTTGGAACGAAAATCGGGATAAACAAACACAAAACAATCAATCAATAAATGGCATAAAAAGCACGGCAACAACAGTAATATGATAATAACGCATTTTCCCAAAAACTCTTGGTTTTTGTGCCAAAACCTTTCCAAACAGTCAATCGATTAAAGATCCTCATCATCGTCTGGAAGTTCAGCGTTCGCAGCAGCAGCAATTTCTTGTTCATACTGTGCAACCATTGTTGGATCCATCTGCACTTCAGGAGGAGCAAGTGCAGGCATTGCAACAAATTCTAGATTTGGATCGCCTAGCAATTTTCGGGCCAGCCATAGAAAAGGTTTTTCGAAATTATAATTGCTCTTCGCTGAGATATCGTAGTACTGAAAACAAATGAAGCCATCTTTTTTGGTAACTGACATGAAAATAAGATAGTACAGCGAGATATTCTTTTCTGGTCTCTCTTCGCCTATGAAATAAAAACAAAACTACCTGCAGATTCTTCTTTCGGTGGAATGTGATCGTCTTAGCTTTGACTTTTCTGTCTTTGACATCTACCTTATTCCCACATAAAACTATCGGGATATTTTCACACACGCGCACTAAATCACGATGCCAGTTTGGAACGTTTTTGTAAGTAACACGTGCTGTTACATCGAACATAATTATAGCGCACTGACCTGAAGTATTTCGTTTACTTGTCGCAATCTAAAATAGGGTATGAAACATTTCAAAATTGTCTTACATAACATAACCTTCAGCAGTCCTAAAGATCTCAAAAGCTAAGGACAATAGTAAAGTTTGCAGAAATATTAATCAGTCTTTAACTTACGGCAAACTGGCAACTGATAAATTCTTCGCACAATCTTTCTCCCTTTTAATGTGTCATTTTCAATTATCAAATTGTAGGAAAAACGAAAAAACTAGCCAACCATTAGTCATAGCTACATTTTATTTCAATTATGTCTACATAGATTCCATTCTGAGTAACACATTATAATCTAATTACTCAAAACAGAATTCGCCTTTGTCTGTCAAACAGTAAAATGATTTATGAAGTTCTGTGGATCCATTAGAACAGAACGATTAACTACCTTGTATGTAGTAACCATCTCGCAATCCGCCAAATTTCTCTTGTCCAGCTGTATCCCAAACATTAAATCGAATCTGACCTCTGTTTGTGTGAAATATCAGTGGATGAACTTCCACACCCAAAGTTGCTACAAGAAATATCATAGAAACGAAATATATAAGCTATAAGTCAGCTTAAATTGAACAAAATTACATCATGTATACAAAAGATGAATACATACCAACGTATTTCTTCTCAAACTCTCCTGTGAGATGCCTCTTGACAAATGTCGTCTTGCCTGTACCGCCATCACCAACAAGCACAAGCTTAAACGTCGGGATATCGTCACCAGTTGCCATTACTTATGCTGCTACCACTGCAATATTAAGATGAATACAATCAGAAGTGAGGCAATAAATGTAGCTTGCTCACTAATCCAACAAGACCGCTGACTGCTTTTAAAATACGATAGGTAGTATTATAATTTTATAAAATATTAGGTTACAAGTTCAATAACCAAAATATCTGGAGAGGACAGACAAATTATACATTCTTATCAGAAACATGATGCTATCTTACGCTACCAAATCGTCAACCATCAAACAAATACTAACATTGTTTTCATCATCATCCCAAACCCCTAACCTCTCCACTAAAAACCTCAAAGCATACTCCAAACCCCCCCCCACATACAGCCCCAAACTTTACAAATAGCCAAAGCCATCGGCTTTGGCTATTTGTAACATAACCTGGCCTATTGACAAACTTCGCGCAGATTGTTCGCCCAATTATATTTACCCCTTTCTTATGATCCGAAGAGTTTTGGGGACTTTAAGTCTAAAGGTTTTCTTCTCTTATTTTGTAGGTATAAGTTAAGTGACGATTTATGATTAAGATGCCACTTCACACTTTTCATTTTTATTCTCCATTACAACAAGATGGTGTAAACATTTATGCAGAATTCTTCGTATGCTCTACACATGAGTCATTAAATGGTACACGTAAAATTGGTGATAACTTATGCGAGGTTTTTCTAGTCAAGATGTGCAAGATCGAAGAATACCTATGGTGAAAGAGATGTAAGGTATTGTATGGAGAATTTTATGATTAAAGTTAATAAAATTTTATGATTAAAGTTAATAAAATTATTTCCCTGCAGTGATGTAAAAACAACGAACATTAAAGGGAAAACATATTAGAAAGCAACATATGTATGATTGGTTCACTCTTGTTTCAGATGTCCTTCATATGTGCAGAACGTGTTAGGTCCACTTTATGATTTATATTGCAGTAATTGAAAACCAAAGTTGTATTTTTGCAGAAAGGAAATGGGAAAAAAACAGAAGTCGATGAAAGATAGCGAATTCGACGTGGGTGTAAGTTTCGCGCATTAATTTTCCACATGGCTATGGGGAGTACTTGAACAGCTTTTGTTCCAATTACCTGTTTTAGGAAATTCAAGCTGCAGGTGACTACTCAATCAAACCTTCCGAAAAGACAGCTGTGTTAGATACTTCACAGTGGCCACTCCTGTTGAAGGTAAACAATCATTTGTAAATGTAGCTTCCGGCACTGAAGGAAAGAACAATGCTTCAAAATCATCATTTCTTGCAAGTGGAACTGATAGATTTTAAAACTACTTGTAAAATTTTCTTTCAAAAAATTTTGCTTGTGGCATTAAAGCCTCTATTTAGGAGTTTTCAGAATTTCGATAAACTGAATGTACGATCTAATCATTATACTCCACTTCCGGAAGGCTGTTCTCCTCTTAAAAGAGATATTAAGAACTACGTCTCTTCTGGTTGCATAAATCTTGACAAGCCAGCTAATCCGTCAAGTCATGAAGTAGTTGCGTGGGTCAAGCGAATATTGCGAGTTGACAAAACTGGACATAGTGGCACTTTGGATCCGAAGGTATAATAGCACTTTTCCTTAGACTTTTCGTCTAAATAACTCATTCCCCAATAAAGCATTATAAGTACACATTTTACGAAACAGTCAAGCTGTTTCTTTTAGTTACGTTAAAAGATATACCTTGAGATTTGTGATGCAGTTTATATTTTCTCTAAAATTTAGAGTTGCATCCTTATTACACAGCAACCAAATGAATGAAAAGGAAATCAGTTTCCTTGAATCGACTAAATTGATGGAAACTTTGTACTTTTTGCCGAAATCTATTGTTTGTAGGTGTCGGGCTGTTTGATTGTTTGCATCGATCGAGCTACCAGACTTGCAAAATCACAGCAGGGTGCTGGAAAGGAATATGTGGCGATATTTCGATTGCATAATACTGTTGAATCAGAAAAAAAAGTGAAGCAAGCGTTGGAGAAGTTGACCGGCGCATTATTTCAACGCCCACCACTCATATCCGCTGTTAAACGGCAATTAAGGATTAGGACAATTTACGAAAACAAATTGATTGAGTATAATTCGAGTCAGAATATGGGCATATTTTGGGTTTGTCTTACTGAATCCCAAGTCATTTCTCTATAATTATTTTTAAAAATGTAATCATATTTTCTAATCACTATTAATTATCCGCTCAGTGCATTTTAGTTATAATCTAATCTCTACTAATTATCCCTGACTTGATTTTAAGGTGAAATGCGAAGCGGGGACCTATGTGCGGACAATCTGTGTGCACCTTGGTTTACTTTTGGGTGTTGGAGGTCAGATGCAAGAGCTAAGGAGAGTTCGTTCGGGTGTGTTCTTCAAATTTTACGAAATTAAACGCTGTTCATGGATTTGTACTACTACATTATTTTTACGTTTTAAGGTATTTTTGGTGAAAAAGATAATCTGATGACGATGCATGATATTCTGGACGCGCAATATCTTTATGACCATCACAATGACGATAGTTATTTACGAAGAGTGATCCGACCACTTGAATCTCTCCTTGTGGGCCATAAACGAATCGTTGTTAAAGACAGTGCTGTAAGTTCTTTGTTCACTTATTTTATGGTATCAAAAATAAAACGAAGTCTTTATTTTTTGATAAATTTTCAATGCATGTATTTGTTTCATACATATGAGTGCACTTTGTCTATCAAAAAACTAAATAAGTATGCAAATTATAAAACCTTTTCGTTCGTTATCTTTTTTATCCCTCATCCTCTCCACATGCTAACACATCTCATTGTGTTGTTGTACTGTTCAACTATCAAATCAAAGTCAGTATATACATTTTAATTATTTATTAGTGTCACTTTGTTAGGTGAATGCAATTTGCTATGGCGCCAAAATACTTCTACCGGGTATTCTTCGGTTTGAAAATGGAATCGAACTGAATGAAGAAATTGTTATCGTTACAACAAAAGGAGAAGCCATTTGTTTAGGTTGTTTCCTCCTGATTTTTCACTTATAACACAGTAGTTGCTTACGTAATAGATATTTTAAGTATTGCGTTTTTTATTTCATACCAAAATCTTATTTCTTGGGTTTAGCATTGGCACTAATGACCACATCAACTATGGCGGTAACGGATCATGGAGTCGTTGCAAAAATCAAAAGAGTGATTATGGAAAGAGATACTTACGCCCGAAAATGGTGTCTTGGTCCCGTTGCGTCGAAGAAAAAGGCTATGGTCACTTACTTTTCTTTCACCTGCAGTTCATCAACTGCAACATT